ATCATTACTTAATACCCAAATAAATTTTCGTAATTTGATATCCAAAATTTTCCACGCCCCTGATCACAGTCAAGACGCGTTATATATAAATCGCGTAATGCGGAATCAACATTTATTCTATATTAGATAGCATCTAATTGTCCGGGTACCCTTAATTTTTATAGTGAGTGATATAAACATTACGTTTTTGATGCATTTAGACGTAAAAAATTATTTTTTGATGCATCGCATTAAATTATGAAAAAATGTAAATTGGAAATTGCTTATCTGTTCCGCCGCGTGTCTATATTTGTATTTTAAGTGTAACAAAAACATGCTTACGCGTTTGTGTTATACGATTATCGTCATGTGCTCCGGACGCGATGATAGTATATTTTTTCTGGGCTATTTCCTTTTAGGTAAAATAAAAACGTGATGGTTCAAGGTATACATTTTGGAAATTGATAAACAAACAAACAAATCAACAAACAAATATGGATAAAAACCCCTGACGTGACTTTTAATCTGCTTAATTCGTTGTTGTGATACCATAATGGCTAAAACATTTTCCAAGGAACCATTTGAAGATTTTAAAAACCTATATGAAGCAAAAGAAGATTATGACACAATTATCATTGCTGGCGAAGAACCAAACGTTGAACAAATTTATGCACATTCTATAGTTCTAAGTGCTAGATCATCTTATTTTCGTAGTGCATTATCTGGTAAATGGGCTGAAAGAAAAGATGATTATTTCGTTTTAACAAAGCCTAACATAAACGCGTCAATTTTTAAATTGATTCTTAAGTAATGTATTACTATTTTAAAATTTTTAAAACATCCATTTTTTAAGGTTCTAATTTTTATTGTATATATTTAAATAGGTTTTTGTATCGTGGAATAGTGAAATTGGAAAACCAAGACTACGAAATAATCTTCGAGCTTTTAATTGCTGCAGATGAACTTTTAATTCAAAGACTTGTCGACTTTATTCAAGACTTTTTAATCAAAAATCGACATAAATTCTTACAACAAAGTCCCGTTAAAATGGTCCATTTTATTGTCCATAATAACCAATTCGATAAAATTAAAGAAGCTTATTTGGAGAAAATTTGCGAAAATCCCAAGTTACTATTTGATTCGGTGGAATTACCTTTTTTAGAGGAAGATGCACTAAAAGTAATTCTTAAATGTGATAACCTTGATATGAAGGAAAGCATTATCTGGAAAAAACTAGTTAAATGGGGAATCGCTCAGCATACAATGCTTGAAAATGACATGATATGTGAAGACACTAATAATGAAGAAATTAATACATTAGAAGAGACATTACGTGAATTAATTAAGCACATTAGATTTTATCAGTTTGAACGTCAGGAATTTATTCCTGAAGTATGGGCATATAAGCATCTCCTTCCTGACAAATTAACTGAAGATGTACTACGTTGTTATTTGGATTCAAATGCTAAACCATTATACTACACATATCCAATTAGATGGGGCAATTTTAAAATCGACTCGGTATTAATGAATAAACAGGCTGCACTAGCGTTGGCGAAGTTGATAGATAAAGAATCTGCAGATGGTACTACCTCAAAGGGATCTCGATATCATTTTAATCTTCTTTATCGAAGTAGCTTAGATGGTCTTTCAGCTCAAGTATTTCATCAAAAATGCGATAAAAAAGGGGCAACAATTGTTGTAGCGAAAACTTTAAATTCAGGTGGACTGATTGGTGGTTATAATCCACTTGACTGGAATGGAAACAATGTATGGAAACAAACAACGGACAGTTTCTTATTTAAATTAGATTGTGTTAAAAGCCGCGTAAGTGCAAAGATCTCACGCACTAGTGAAGATACTAGTGACTATGCAATTTATTGCAGTAAAGATTATGGTCCAAGTTTCGGAGAAGGCCCCGATTTACGCTTTATAGATGACCATTATACTTTGAAATGTAAAGCAAAATCCTACTCTAAAATATCAACCTTGGGTACTTCGCTCGTATTCACAAATTATGAAGTTTTTCAAGTAATTAGAAACTTTACAAAGCATTCTGTCCAAGATTGATTATATAAATATAAACAGTAAATCAA